GGAAAGGCTCTTGACGTGAAACGCTGAAGGCCGAAAAGTCATGCTAAAGCGGTGCGCGTGTCTCAGATAAGCACTATGGCTCTTAGCGAAGCCCTGCTGACAAAAATGCAGATCCCGAGCGGACAATTCCCTCTCCCTGCTGTGTAAAAAGCCAGCTCAAGGGACTTGGTGATCAAAACTACCTGCATTTACCGTAGACCTGAGGTAATGGTGTGCTTTTGGCGCTGTGCTGTTGGCAGCGGTTGAAATAACAAATGTGAGGGAACTGGTGAATTCAACAACGACCTTTGCATGCCAGGACGATATCATCCAACACCAATTACCAGCAAATATTACGAAATGAAACAACCAGCATGATCAGAGTGTCTTCGCAGATACAATAACTACAGATCAAGCAAAACGGATGTGCCAGCCGGCGGAAATCTATATGGCGAGAAAGGACATGGGATCTTCTCAGATCGTAGACATTTCATTTCGTAGCCGTAACTATCAACAGCCGTAGTAAGCAATTACCACCATAAAATGTCAAGTTTGCACAGTTCGTGCACAATGCGCACACTTCGACATAGTGCTGACTTGTGTACAAAAGTCTTGTCATGAGAGCAGAGCCGATATTTCCTGCACCTGGCGTGGGGTGTAGCAGTCAGCCTCAGGCATAGCTCCAGGGTGGTCACGTGACGTCACGCTGTGCAAGTCCAGTGTTTTCCAAACATTACCAGGCGCAAAAGCCGGTTGCAGGCATAATGGGTTACGTCTGTCTAATGAAATTAGACCGACATGGTGAGGCACGGCTGCATCGCAACACATTCCTATACTTCCGGCGACCACACAAACTGGGAGCCACCCATGACCACAGTCACCCATGGCCCTGATATAGGTCAGAGCGATGTCCGACATATGGGTGTTCGCCTACCCAATACATTCTCTTCCGTCTTTCTAATGTTCCTGCGGCCTGGGCGGTACGGATGACACAGAGTCAGCCGGCTGACACAGAGTCCGTCTGCTGACATAGGGTCTGTGCGGCACGGCTGACACAGAGTCAGTCGGCTGACACTGAGTCTGCTGAATGACACAGGGTCTGGGCGGCACGGCTGACACAGAGCCAGTCCGCTGACACTGAGTCTGCTGCCTGACACAGTCTGGGCGCCACGGCTGACACAGAGCCAGTCGGTTGACACAGAGTCCGTCGGCTGACACAGAGTCTGGGCGGCACGGCTGACACAGAGCCAGCCGGCTGACACAAAGTCCACCGGGATGTGTTCCAGACCAGCGCTGGGAGACGTCCAAGGCCCGCCCGCAGTCGGTCGCCGCAGCTGGACGAGCGGTGCAGGCACGCAGCCTTCAGAGGTCCGCAGATGGCTCTCCGCGTGGGCTACCCTCGCTCCCAGGCGCGCCAGCGTGAGGCCGATTTGCTTGCCGGCCCACCCCTTCCCTTCTCGTTAGCACTTTCAAAAGGGGCCTTTGAATATGCGTTGAATGGGGTCTATGGAATCGGGAATGGGCCCACCGCGCTTGGGACGGGCGTCTGCTGGACCCACGCAGCTCCTCGGCGCATCGGCCGTGGAGGCTATACGAGGGGGGGGGGGGGGGGCGAAGGGCGAGCAGGCGAGCCCACCACAGCTGCGGCGGCTCATGCGCTGCAACAGCAGACACCCAAGGTCAGCCGCTGTTGCAGCGACTACATGCATGTGATGCATGTGCAGATTATCCGCACCCGTGTAGACGAACAGGTGCGACATGTTCATCGAATCGGAAGACACCACAAGCGAAGAATTCCAACACGAGGCAGTTAAGCCTCTACTTAGTTGGTCAGCCGTGCGCGTCACTGGCCGGCGTTTAGGGCCACTCAGCTCTGACGGCCGATGATCTGTGAGCCGGGACAGACCACGAATTAAACGCTGTTTCAATCAAGAACAAAGGGAAACCATCATTACGTCGGAATGTCTTACGAATGGGGGCGCTGGCGGCGGGGACGCGGTGAGCGGTTGTGGGGCGCCCACTGTCTGACGTGGACAGACGGGGAGGACTGCCAGCAGCGTCCGGGAGGGAGCGCCGCCAGGTGCCGGCCGCAGGGCAGCGCTGGTCCCCAGCGGGCCGTCTGTCAGGGTGGGGCAAGACCCGTCTTTGAAAGCAAGGGCGCCAGTACGGGTCGGGACTGCACAGTGCCAGCGCAGCCCGCTGCCAAAGCAATGTGCACTATAGACACCTGTCTTATCGCCAAAGCTGCGAAGCAAAGACCTAGCAGGAACTCCCGCCACCCTGACGCAAGCGTGGAATTCAAAACAGCGCATCATCCTCTCAGGTTTCCTCTAGACGTCGACGTGTCCTCGGTAGGTTTGCACAGGCCAGCACCGGTGCTGCCACAGGCCTGCCCGGCGGCTGCGGCTGGAGCGCAGGCCCGGCGGCCGTCCGTCCGCTGGCGCGCCGGCCGCGGAGGGGGCGGGGCCGCTCCGACGCCACCCATCACCCGCCACACCGGCCCTAATTACTGTTTACCCTGCAAGACGCATCGCCAGGCGGCGCCGGTGCGCGTCCCATCCCGTCCCGTCTCGACCGACCGACCGACCGACCGACCGGGCGGACGGACGGACGAACGGACGAGAGGTAACCACGCCCACCGCCGGAGGCCGAGGGTCGCGGCCGGCGCGAGCGGCTCCGGGCGCGCCCGGGTCAGCGGACCCGCGGCCCGGGCTGAGGTCAGGAGCTGACGTCAGCGGCGGGAGATGAGTGGGCTGAGCATCAGCGCTCAGCATTCAGCCCGCACAGAATGGCTGTAGTATACCGTTCCTGGCGGGTGCATTAAAGCGGTGTGAGAGGCTAACGGATAGTGAGCTTTGCATGGCATAAGTGATAAGAACGAGCAAATCAGACCCAGACCAAATTTAAAAGGAATACCGAGTTGGGCTGGTTTCCATCGGTCATGCAATTTGCCATCGCTTGTGACAAATATGACGAAGAGAGGTAAGGGTAAGTTGAGAGAACGGGAGAAAATGAAATAAGGTGAGCAGAGAAAGAGAAGATGAGAGAAAGAAAGACGAGAGAGAGAGAGAGAGAGAGAGAGAGAGAGAGAGAGAGAGAGAGAGAGAGAGAGAGAGATAGAGAGAGAGAGAGAGAGAGAGAGAGAGAGAGAGAGAGAGAGAGAGAGAGAGAGAGCGAGAGAGAGAGAGAAGAGAGAGAGAGAGAGAGAGAGAGAGATAGAGAGAGAGAGAAGAGAGAGAGAGAGAGAGAGAGAGAGAGAGAGAAGAGAGAGAGAGAAGAGAGAGAGAGAGGAGAGTGAGGAGGAGAGAGAGAGAGGAGAGGGAGAGAGAGAGAGAGCGAGGAGAAGAGAGAGAGAGAGGCGAGAGAGAGAGAGAGAGAGAGAGAGGGAGAGGAGAGAGAGAGAGAGAGAGAGAGAGAGAGAGAGAGAGAGAGCACGATAATATCGCGGGAAAGGAAATGAGTACACATGGAGGCACGAAGAATCCGAGATGATGCAATGAAAAGGCGGCCTGATGAGTAAAGTATTCCGGACCACAGAATTCGAGATTCACAGATTGGTCTGGGGAGAATGGGAAGACGGAAGACGAAGGAAGACAACAAATCAGAAGCAGAAAAGACAGACGACCGGCTACAAACGACCAGACACAAACCAGAGCGGAGAGCACCGTAGAGCGAGGGCGACGTGGTATTTAGCCGACTGCCGACCGGGTCATGCGTCATCATGGCACGAAAATCACCGGCAGCACTCCCCGCAGCAGAATTGACATGGCGCCGTGCCAGTCGAGCCCTCATTGAGGGTTCGATACCTGGGCAACTAAGCAGCATCGCGATTGGCGGCTGCAGGCCCGGCCGGTCGGGCCTCTCCCGGGCACGAGCGTCGCCGGTGCTGCCGCCTGCCGGCCGTCGTTCAAGGCTGAGCGACGCCGGAGGCGCTTGCGCCCGGCCCGCGCGCGCGAGCGGCACGTCGTTACAGGCGGCCCGGCGCCGACGACAAGCTGGAAAATGGCGGCCGGCCGGGAGACAATGGCCCGGGCGGATAGCCGGCGGAACTGGCCGGTTTGTTCCACCGCCGACTGGTGATGATTAGCGGAGAGTTTTTGCCCGCGTTGCGGTTGCCGGTCATCTCGAACCGGAGAACTGCCGAGGTCTGGGGGTTTATTGGGAACGGTGTGCAATTTTCGCCCTCTTGGCGCACTTGATGACAGGGCAAGCACATGGGTTTGCCGAGATTTATAGTAATACTAGGCCCGAGGCTTCTTAAGTCAAGGGGCCAGGAAGCGAGTGAAGGTCTATGCCGGAGGCACTCGCCAATGACTGTGGGTTTATTAGATTATCTTTACCATGTATGCCCAGTGGGCAGCACGGGGGCACGCCCGCGGTGTGCATGCTGACAAGGTACCATAATACACTCCCCACTCATGAGTATGTCGTGATTATCAATATCACGCACGCGGCATGCCACTCCGTTTTCGACGATGGCTCGCAGTGGTATCCTCCATTCAGATATGTGTGTACAGAACACTACCGATTCATCCACTCGATAGCTTGATTGCCCATTGCCGTCACTTGCCGGACTATTACATGCATGCACTTCAGGGCTCAATAGCCGAAGCCTCGAGAAGCGATCTGGGTGGGATGGAATGTCGCCAGTCATCGCTATGCGGCATGGGTATCTGGCTACTACCACCACCTAGCGGACTACACAAAAGGCATCAGTTTTCTGAGCGGCCGCCAGGGCCCAGGTACTTCGACCAAGCACCGAGCATGAAACACTTTGTATGGAGCGGGCAGACCTTGATGGCTGGGATGCAGCCGACAGAGCTTCAAATTGTTCCATGCCGGCCATTAACTTATTAGGATTTGGAGATCAGTCCTCCATAAAAACACCCTCGCAAAATCAGACCGTCTACTTAAACTCAAACCCAGCATATAAAGGTCTGAACATGCGAAATGAGGGCGCAGGGTATCATCAGTATGGCAAAATATGGACGCAAGACCTGTGAGACACGGCCCTCTCCAAATCTCCCATGGAATCAACGCAAAAAACTACGTCACTGCATGAAGAACATAAACAAAATAAGCGGTGTCGCCCTCTACTTTTGGGATGTTCGCACACCGCTGTAAACGTCACAAGGCTGAGCGCAACGGTCGGAGCCGAGCAAGTCAACCCTGTGGCGTTCTGAAAAAGCGTCTCTGACCCCGTCAAAAAATAAACCGAAGGCACGCGAAAAATTCAGCAAGTAGAAAAGGCAGCAAGAGAAGATGTGCTGTTTGAAATACTAATTGACCACATAACGCGCGTTTCGTGATGCACCGCAATGTCTTCCATTAAAAGCGCCTCATAGCTGTACAAAATATGCAGTGTATTCTTTGTCAAAACAAAAAGCAGTTACAAAACATATTTGAACATAACCGGACAGGTTGTTGTCGAAATGACGAAAATCCCAGTGACAAGCCTTTTACATAGGTCATTTACGTGTTTTTACCTTGCCCTTTTTACATGGGCACGGTAAGTCAAAGATAGAAGCAAAATCGCATAACTCGCGCTCAAAGACAAACCCAGCAAAAACTTGCTTTCGTCTGTTGGGTGCACACCAAAGCAGTGAGCCGAACCAAGCCAAGCAAGACCGACGGTACTTCATTCAGATGCTAACGGGCCAACAACCATTCCGATGGCTTGCAGTACAGAAGTAGGCAAGCTGACGAGCATAGGGAAAGGGAAAACAGGAAGGAAATGGGAGTAGCCACGTCTCTGAAATTGCGGCGGCAAATCAGTGATGAATGGGGTCAAACAGTAACCTTGAGGTAGACGAGGTGACCTGAAAATGTCATTCGTACTGGGAAAACGTGAAAACAAACATTCTATGGGCAACCGGAAATCGCAAATATTAATGCGTCTAAGCAATGAAAGCCATAAAATAAACAGACCTAGAATCGGACCAACTGCGCAGGATCAAAATCCAAACATGTGCATCGCATTTGCGGGGATATGTTACGGCTTGCCAGCGCGCCATTTCTGCCTATTTGGCAGACCCTACTCCTCAGCACGTCGTCGCCCTATGGGTACCCGAGGACGGTCGCCGATGTGCTGACGCCCCCGACCCCCGGGGGCAGAGCGGTACTCACCGGCAGGGAGAGCAGCGTGTCGAGCGTGTGCTTGGCCGCTCCACGCCGCAGCTTGCAGAACTCGACGAACTCCTCATCCGTCGTCTGCTTCTCTCGCAGCAGCCTGGCGACCAGCGCATCAGTGTGAGGTCCGGGATCCAGCCAGGTCAGGGCGCGGCGAGAGTCAACAAAGCTTTTGTAGATGCCTCCGCTCCTCCCAGCGTCATAACGCACGGAAGCAGGGAGCCCAGGTCCGAAACCACGACTGACACAAACAACACGGGGAAGCCGAAGCCCAGGCCCGGAACTACGATTCGCGTAAAGAAAATGGGCAAGCTGGATCGGCAGCGGCCTTACAACACCTGCTAACTCCCAGTTGTGGCCAAACCAAGCGGCGCACATCGGTCCATGATGGCGCTACGTTGTCAGCTGAAGCGCCGTCTAACGGCCTGACCACGCGCCACCCGGCGGCCGTGGCTGCCGCCGGGGCCGCGCTGGCCGGCCAGCGAGGTCAGAGCCGCGGGCGGCACGGCGCGCCGTCACCGGTTAGGGCCGGCCCCTCCCGCTGCGGCGCCTCCCAGTCATTGCTCTCAGCACCGGGACGCCCGCTGACAAGTAAGAAAACAGCCGGCTCAAATCGGCGCGCGTGAGACAATCACGAGTGTTTACCGTGTGTAATGGCGGCGTCGTCGCTAAATGGAGCGTGTCCGCTGCCATGGGCGCTGCTGGCCGGTCGGCAAATGGGACAGGCGTCGGCGACGCCGGCCGCCGGTGAAAGTTGCCAAGATTGCCCACAAACAATCGGAGCCGCGCCGGCTAGCCAATTTTTGCTTGAGTCGCGCAGCCGTGCGCGGACCATGTGTGCTTGCTGGACGACACGTCAAGAGACCAACACTCGCCGCACGTGATCTGCATACCTAGGATTGGCCGTCTCGTGCGGCCAATGGGCGCTTGCAGGACGTGTTATGGGCCGTAATTGGGCTATAACTTCTTCGTACGGGGTGCTGAGAGTCGTAAATTACGTTAAGGACAGATAATGTGAATATTGTCAAATAAACTATAGCACATGACGTAAAGTGATACTTTGAGGAGCGTCGAAGTCCTCATTTGCAAGCGGTGCGTGAACTGGTGCTCCCTACTTGTTTTGACTCGTTTTTTGTCGTCTTGAAATGAAAGGATGTTCTTGATCAGGAGTTTACAGATTAGGCGAGATATACGTTAAAAGATGATGTGGTGTAGAAGATTGGATAGTTCCGGTCAATTTCCACAGCTCCAATAAAATATTGAGCACAAATGTCAGTCCTAATATGTTATGACTTACTTTTCACTTCTTCAAAAAGTACAGCTGGGCAATATGTGCCTAGAACGCTACCATCACCATTCTGGTTGTGTCCTCCAGTACTCACTCTCGTGCTCTGGCGTAGAATTCCTTGTATTCGTCATACTGAGCCAGCAGTTGTTTGGAGAAGAGTCCACCTGCGAAGAAAAGCCGCGCCCCGTCAGGTCAGTGACCGGACACGGAACACGGCACGGAGTCTAGCCATGGGCAGGCGCACCAGTCGGGGCACTAGAGCACTTCCCGGATATAATTTTCAGGATACGGTCCAGTGCAGTCTGGCTAGGTCAGATCCGATCGGCCCGCCAGCCTGCCTTTCCCGGATCCATCAGTGTAATCCGGTCCGGCCCGACTTGCCAGGACCACACACCAAATGAATCCGTACCAAGCCCCTTCCACAAGACGGGCTTCTTCTTACAATTTCAACAGCAAGCTTGATACACCTGAGTATCTTAGAATTTAAGGTGTTTGTTAATTTGCGTCGATAAAATGTGCGATAAGCTGTAATGAACCGGTGGATGTTAGGATCTTAACACATCCTGCTGCCTGTTGGGAATGCAACCTTGCAGAATATCAGAACAAGGCTCATAATAAGATTTATCATAACACAATTGTCTTGTGCACCAGTTCGCAGGTACCACCACATCATTGGGGCCGAAATAGCTGCTGGTTTCAATAACTCTAAGGGATGAGCACATAGTCTAGCATTTTCAGTCTCCAGGTCAAGTGCAACATATTTACACACGCCACTCAACAGTTTCAGCAGAGCCTCGTTCACAAGCGCAAGACGACACTCATCTAGTACGCCTCCTCACGTCATATACCATGCTTCAGGTCTGCACCAGTTCCCGGTCACACCAACTGATGATACAACTTCAACTGCGACCGATATTTCCTGCTATATTACTGACTACATTAACATTAAAATCCATGCGCGGGGCTGTCCACTGGCAGGTGCCTGCGGTACCTGGTCTTTCAACCAGGAGAACGAAACAGTTGTGTTCTTTTGAACCCTGTTGCTTTAATGCCAGATGCCACCGAACCTCCCTTCTTGTCCAGACTAGAAAAACACGAAAATTTTATGGGTTTGTAATCGCGTATCGGACAGCTACATGAAGTTGTGGTCAAAACAATTGTTGCCCACGTGTGCTGATAATGGTGCGCCACTTTGTATGCATTGTTTTGTTTTCAGCACGCTAAAACATACATACACTATGAAAATCCGTGGGATGGCGCAGCGTTTTAGTCAGTGTGTAACCTTTCTAACCAGCCATGAGCGGCGCGTCTTTGGGATAGATGTCAGATTTCAGCAGTCCAAGCAGACAACGTGAAGCCAACGGCACGACGTAAGGGCGTCTATAATATACCGCCTATAAATCCCCAGCGCTGCTCAACAGTGCCAGACCCATTGAGAAATCTGCAACTGACAAGGAAAGTGACCAACATGGTGTTTTTTGAAGCTCATCGCGAATACAAGAAGCTGGCGCCTAGTTCCACGACATTAGTGCTAGAGCAAAAACTCCTTCCAACAAAAGTGCTACATCACTTCTATCACCCGTGCTCACGCACGACATTAGTGCCACGCGACGAAAGTTGTGCTGCAAAAACTTATGCCGGTCATAACTTCTGCAAAAACTTATGCAGGCATCACTCATACACATTACTTCTACCGCAAATACCTCCGCACGACATTATTGCTACACGACAAAACCTATGCTTAAAAACCTACATCCGTCATCACGTCTACTGCGAAACGTATGACTTTTACTTGTACGCGGCATTTCTGCTACTGCAAAGACTCTGCGCGATATTGGTGATGTACGACAAAACTTGTAGAACAAAAATGTACATAAAAAACCGTAATTATCTCTGCTGTAAAAACTGACACACTCTTAACGTATACGCAATGTGACACCTGCTGCCAATACTCACCCGTGGAGTGCAAAATGCCTGAACATCGAGCAGGGAGAAGGAACAATTCGCGGGTTAGGAGCGAGCCTCGGCTGGGTAATGCTGCAAGCAAACGTTCGTGGTGCCGATACGACAAATAACTGATCCCTCACGTCATGTTCTTTGTCGACTTGGCATGCTTGATGTTTGAGGGCAGACTGTAGTTTTGATAACAGCATCTTAATGACGGATACAGCTTTGTAAAGTATTAGTTTTCTTGTGCAGCGTATAACATCACATGAGTCATTACAGAAAATTTATTGTGGCGTGTTAGTGAGCACCAGACCAGGGTGTAATTGCATATTCATTCGGGGTCCCCAACCAGCCCCCACTGTGATAATATGTGTCATACTCTGAGCAAACCCCGTGTTTTATGTATTTTGGGGTGCGCTTCCACGTTTTTCTCTGTTTAGCCCCCAAACCCGCATTGCAGTACTACGACACTGCACTGGACGTTTTTCCAAATAGGAAATGCCACACATAACTATACACTGCAAAGAAACCGTGAAACACTGAAAACTTTCGCAAACGTCAGCCCACCTTGCTTTCTTACCATGGCACGCCCGTGCACACTGAGCGCTGTCGTGTGGGCCGAGCAAACCTGCCCGTCAGTAGCGCTGCTTTAGCGTCAGGCTCTCCAAGAAGCATGCCGAGAGTTAAGTGAATTTTTGCGGTAATTTTAGTTTGGTTAACATCGACTGACGACACGCGTGAGATTTTCTGCCTACTTTCTTTGCGCTGCGGTCGCTGCGAAAATATGCACTCGTGTGAATATTCAAATAAGATAAATGTGCACCCGTTCAAATATATATATATATATATATATATATATATATATATATATATATATATATTGGCTCGAAGAGAACCTGACACACCATATTTGAGCTCTATTTGCCAAATTCAACGGAAAATTGAATAACGCTTAACTTGAATGCGATTATTTCTCGAACCGCTTTGCACACCACAAAAACGCGTCATATATATGACCTAGTGATTCAACGTACATTCAAACGCACCTACCGATAACTCTCCAAATGCGGGGGCAGAAGTATATATATATATATATATATATATATATATATATATATATATATATATACTTCTGTTTATATAATATATATACATATGCACGTAAATATGCGTGTGTGCGTGTGTGCGTGTGTGCGTGCGTGCGTGCGTGTGTGTGTGTGTTTGTATAACACCTTCCGAGAACAGGTCTAACGTCAGGTTCATGTTCGTGAATGATGTCATCTACCGATGACATTAAAGGCAGCAGCAATATTCGAACAGTAAAAACTATCAAAACTAAAGGCCTATTCGGGTGTGATTGCCCTCCAGTTGTTTAAGACATGGACTTTTGTCAGGTGCGACAACAAGTTAAGCAAAACACGCACCGTTCAAACACGCATGCAAAATACAGAAGCAGGTTAAATACAATACACGACTGTATCACGTGGGACACCTTCAACACAAATAATCGGGGAAAATATAGTTAAACACATGCAAACATAATTGGTAAGTGTCTTAGCTAAAACTTTCCTGAGGATGTCGCTGAATCCCCCCCCCCCCCCCATCACCCACTCGTGTACTTTTTGTCCTGCTTAGCTTGTTACCATAAACCCGACTAGTTTATGTCCTGGAACAAGGCAATTGAGGGGCAAGGCAGCTAACAAGCCTTCGTGGTCTATGGCGCTAATTGGGTTAACATGCTGTCTTCTTCACTGTCATTGGTGACGTCATTCCCACCATAAACCTGGTATAATACCTGTTTTCAAAAAGATTGAGAGCCTTCGTAACAAACTAATCGATCTGATTCCGATGCAGCATTCAGCCAACAATGCAACGGTGACAGCCGGCTGCCTAAATTGTAGTGCTGCTGCAAACTGCGCACGTAAGTTTTAAGGGTTGTTAGTGGTTGTAAACACCTTTTCCGCGAATGGTAAAAATGAGTATGCCTCCTTTCACACCACGCCTAAATTTGTTTTATTCAAATAAATTAAGCGTTGGGTAATGTAGGTGTCATGCGGTTGCGCGCAGCTTGAGCAGACAAAGAGCAGCGCGTTGCACCACGGTAGTCACCAGCCTACCATTGTAACGATTAGGCTTCGGGGGAGGATGCCTAGGTTATCCATAGCCGCCAACAGGTATCTTGACGCGTTGTTATCTAAACACCATGTTTCGCAAGAGTCATCATCATGCGGCGAGACGGAGCTGATAGCAAAAATTGTCCAATGTGTTGGGAGCTCTCATAATGACATTGAAGGGCAATGAGGTCTCATGACATTGTTCCATATTTCCAGGTATCTAAGAAAACATTCAAACATGATGAAATAAGCTCACGTATAACTATTGCTATACCTTTAAGTAGAAAAGGCTGCCCTAGACAACACAATTTCTCTGTTCAGCAAATATGCTCCTCCACGAGCCATTGTTTGATTACGTTATCGTACCTTGCACAACATCGATTGAGAACCAATTGATAGTCGCTATATCTGGAAATCGTGCTCACGAAGGCCAGTTATGAACGACTCGACAATTGTATTTCTCTTGGCCTTGATTGCCCATTAGATTGGAGTTGGGTCATTCCATTGGGCCCAATGCCCAATGGAATGGCAGGATTTGAATGACATCATTATAACGTCATGGATGCCTGACTGACCTTGAAAGTCTCCCCAGAATAGCCTGCGCATCTTCGCGGGCGTGCATCTCAGAAAGTAAACGAGCTTAGGTCTAAAGAAGGCAGGGCAGTTAACTGCACGGGATGATCTTCAAGATTACTTTTTTCAGTTTAAAATCCCGTACATTTGTGAAAGACTCCCTTCAGTCGGCCTTCAATATAACAGAAGGCACTGGTGAAGCAACAGTATCCAACAGTATTATATCACTACATCAGACATTAGCAAACTCGACTTTTCAAAGCTGTGCTTATGGCCGTTTGTCTTGATACAGCCACTTCTGATATTTTAAGAGCATGCATTTCCAAAACAATAAATATGACCTTATGATGCTCAAAATAAGGAGCCCGAGGCCTGTGTTGCCTATAAAAGTAATTATCTCATGCAGCGAGCAGACACCAGCCTCTACGGGCCAGGTTGCGGCCAACACCGCAAGGCCAACTTACAACGCTGGACATTGGGCAACCTGATAACGTGACACAAAACTGGAGACTGTCGGGCTTACCAAAACA